AAATTCTATTCAAAACCTTGCTGTCAAGGTTGAGAATATTACTCTCCACAACAAGATGCTGGAAAATCAAATTGCACAGTTGATGCCTAGTTCAAACAATTCTCCAGGTAAGTTCCCAGGTAAAACAGTTGCAAACCCAGCTGAAAATGTTAATGCTGTTACTTTAAGGAGTGGGAAGAAATTAGACGGACCTGTGTCTAATCAAAATGATAATATTGAGATTGATGAAGACGCTTCTCCTATGGTTGAAAAACCTGAAAAAGAGAGATTAGAAAAAGAAAAAGTATCTTCATCAAAGCCTCAAACTGTTTATCACCCTCCAATTCCTTTTCCTCAAAGGTTAGCAAGGACTAAACTTGATAGACAATTTGAAAAATTTTTAAATATGATCAAACAAGTGTATGTAAACATTCCATTTGTAGAAGCTCTACAACAGATGCCTACATATGCTAAATTTCTTAAGGATCTTTTAGCTAACCGAAGGAAATTGGATGATAGAGAGACTGTTACATTGATCCATCATAATTTGCCCAAAAAACTTAAGGATCCTGGTAGTTTCTCTATACCTTGTCTCATTGGAAATCTAAGGTTTGAAAAAGCCTTATGTGACCTTGGGGCAAGTATCAGTTTAATGCCTTTATCAATTTGCAAGAAATTAGATATGGGAGAATTAAAGCCTACAGCAATGTCAATCCAGTTAGCAGATAGATCTATAAAATATCCCATAGGAATTTTAGAAGATGTTCCAGTTAAGATAGGTAAATTTTTAATTCCGGGAGATTTTGTTGTTTTAGAAATGGAAGAGGACAAACAAATACCAATCATACTAGGTAGACCATTTTTGGCTACAGCAGGCGTGATAGTAGATGTCAAACATGGAAAATTGTCCTTATCCATTAATGATGAAACAATGGAATTTAATATTGCTAAATCTGTTAGACAACCTTCTCTTGAAAATATTTGCTGCAGGGTTGATATATTGCCTAAAGACATGGAGGAAGAAGTCATGAGATCTATTTTGAGGGATCCCTTGGAGAATTTTCTAGTTGGAGGAAAGCACATAGATCTTGAGGGGATTCAACCTAATTATGCTTGCTTGATCGATTCAAGTCCCCCGTGTAAAGAAAAAGATCCTCTAGTAGAAAGTCTTCTTGAGTCTTCAACAGATTGGCAAGAAGAAAACTCTCCAAAGTTAGAACTTAAACCACTTCCTTCATCTTTAAGGTATGAGTTTTTGGGGGCTAATTCCACTTATCCAGTCATAGTAAATTCAGCTTTAAATGAAAAAGAAACTGAAAAACTTCTCAATGAGTTGAGAAAATTTAGAAAAGTTATTGGATATACTATGGCTGATATAAAGGGAATTAGTTCTTCATTTTGTATGCATCGCATCTTCTTGGAGGAAGGATCCAAACCTTCTGTTGAAGCTCAAAGAAGACTAAATCCCAAGATGAAAGAAGAGGTAAAGAAAGAAATTTTGAAATTATTGGATGCTAAGGTAATTTATGCTATATCTGATAGTCCTTGGGTAAGTCCAGTTCATGTGGTTCCTAAGAAAGGTGGGATGACAGTAGTTAAAAATGATAATAATGAATTAATTCCCACAAGAACTGTGACTGGGTGGCGTATGTGTGTTGATTATAGAAAATTAAATAATGCCACTAGAAAGGATCACTTTCCCTTACCTTTTATTGATCAAATGCTTGAAAGGTTAGCAATGCATTCATACTTTTGTTATTTGGACGGATACTCCGGTTTTCATCAAATCCCTATTCATCCATTAGACCAAGAGAAAACTACTTTTACATGTCCCTATGGTACTTTTGCTTATAGGAGAATGCCTTTTGGCCTATGTAATGCACCTGCTACCTTTCAAAGATGTATGACTGCAATCTTTAGTGATTTATTAGAAAAAGAGATGGAAGTTTTCATGGATGACTTTTCAGTTTATGGTATTTCCTTTGATGACTGTCTATTAAATCTAACTAAAGTATTGCAGCGTTGCTCTGAAGTGAATTTAGTCTTAAATTGGGAAAAATGTCATTTTATGGTACAAGAAGGAATTGTCTTAGGACACCTAATATCTGGGAGAGGAATTGAGGTAGATAGAGCAAAAATAGAAGTAATTGATAAATTGCCTCTTCCAATTGATGTTAAAGGTGTTAGAAGTTTCTTAGGGCATGCCGGTTTCTACCGAAGGTTTATTAAAGATTTTTCAAAAATCTCTAAACCATTATCTAATCTACTTGTGAAAGAGGTACCTTTTAACTTTGATGTTTCTTGTAAGAATGCATTCTACAGGTTGAAAGAAGCTCTCACTACAGCTCCTATTCTGCAAACTCCTGACTGGAGCCTTCCTTTTGAAATCATGTGTGATGCAAGTGACTATGCTATAGGAGCTGTATTGGGACAAAGAAAGGACAAGAAGGTTCATGCTATATACTATGCCAGCAAGACTCTTGATGAAGCCCAAGCCAATTATGCAACAACAGAAAAAGAATTGTTAGCAGTCGTCTATGCTTTTGAAAAGTTCAGATCTTATCTTGTGGGGTCTAAGGTTATTGTTTACACAGATCACTCTTCCCTAAAGTATCTTTTTAATAAAAAGGATGCTAAACCTAGGCTCCTCAGATTGTCTTGATCGGCCTCACGGTGGGCGCCAAATGTTCTTACCAGGAATCTGAGGTAGAGTTGATCCGCTGGGTAAGGTCGATGAGCCTCCTTCACTGGTACGTTGGTGCTCCAAGATGGGGGTGGTACCTGCAAAAGAGACTCTGATACCAAAGTTAGTGTTTGTCGGTGTATGAGTCTCGTATAAGTAATGCACGTACCTATGTGTGTATTAGGGTTTTGTTGGGCTTTGGGCCCGAGATCAGTTTATGACCTAATTGGATAGCGAGCCGATGTCGCCTAGCGCGTGTCCGAGGTCACTCCGCGCTGTAGCGGTACGGATAGTACACTATGTATGACCATTAATATGCTTATCAAAAGTCTAATATAATTCTTCTGTAGTGAAGCTATTTTTCTCCTTCATAGCTTCCAACCAGCTATGCTTAACTTCACTTTTCATGGCTTAAGAATAAGGCTTGGGTTCGCCGTGGTCATCAAGCTCTATCCCAATTGTAAAAGCAAATGAAATGAGATCGGCATGGCTTTACCTATCTACTGCTTTGTGTCTCCATCTCTCTCTGCCCCTTACCAAGCTATAACTTTGATCAAATCTATCTTTTAGCTTTATGATATTTTGGTGTTTGTCGCCCGCTTTGAATTATAGTTACAGGTTCAATTAATGTAACCATAAACTCCACCTCAATTTGAATCACATGATCTTTGGACAATTCTCCCGAGTTTCTAAACATTGTGACTTAACTAAATTATAGCTATATCATGTTCATTGAACACCACATCCCTAGTGATCAAACACTTCTTGTGCCTAGACGCCAAACATCACAATTTATAGCCTTTAACACCTTTGAGATAACCAGTGAAAATGCATTTCATCAACTCCCTTGGTTCTAGCTTGTCTTGCTTAATATGAGCATAAGTAATACAACCTAAAGTCTTCAATCCTGAGTAATCAACCTTCTTGAGACTCCAAGCCTCTTGTGGTGTTTTGAATCCTATGGCCATGGATTGGGACCTATTGATGCAATATAAAATCTTTTTGTTTAAGAATGTGCTATTCAATCTCTTTCCCAGTATCCCTTTTTCTATGTCTACCAGGTACATCATAGGACAAAATATTTTTATTTTAATTATGTAATATTTAAAATTCGAGAGACAACAATTTTATATTCATATGCCTTGTCTATCAAGTACCTGAATGAGGTCATTATGTATGACAAATACTATACGTTTTCGAATGGTTTAAATACATGTACTCAATTCCATGTGTGCTTAATTAAACTCCAAGAGATTACTTAATTCGCGAAAAACTTACCTGTAATTTTATTAACCAAGTTTTAAATTTCCAATTCTAAATAATAAATAAATAAATAAGAGTTCTTCTCAACAAATTGGAGTGATACACTCCCAAACTCTATAGTGCTATTTTGCATTTTTCTCATGCATGATGATATGATTTGGGGGAAGGAGGGGGGAATTGTCACATGCGAGTTATGTAAAAAATTCTATTAATTAACTTTGAACGGGAAAATTAAGCAAGAAGTTATTTTGCATACTTAATGGTCAACACATAATCCAAATTTCAATTGCAATTTGCATGGATGCATGAGTTAGTGCGAAAAATCTTTACATGCAGCAATTGTGATTGCACACTGCAATTTTAAACGTGGAGATGACATAAGAAAACTGAACCCTTCTAATGATAGGCTAAAAAAAGAGGATTCCACTCAAAATAATGGTTCCCATAGATTGTTTATCTATCTGTTATTGTTACCGCCAGAGGTAATTTGAATCCACAGTTTCAATTTGGAATTTTCATAGTCTGCCAAACATGATACTAAAGAATAAAGATTTTACTATATAGTAACTGGAGGGTTAATTATTGTTTTTACTCCACTTGAAGGATACACACACAATGATAAGAAATTTCACTTACTTTTACCGGGATTCTCGTTACATTATTTGGCATAATTTGTATATATATTAATATCTAACGTGACGTATTCATTACTTGCTATATATACTAAGATTAGTGCAAGGAAAAACGTTAATATGTTTGATCAAATAGTGATTAAATGATACAAACACAAGCGAAAAACAGTGGGTAATGTAAAATTACGCTGTTTCTGAAGTGTGTTCTGACTCATTATAATTCAACAAGCAATGTAACAGGTATTGTCCACTTAATAATAGAGCTTTTCCTTTTAGTTGGTGGGTGGAACTTTACATGGATGAGAAATTGAATGGGTTGATCTAATTAAAGGGGAACTTTAAACAGTGGTCTACGACACTTATCTACATCCTATTATTCATAGTGGGTTACGTTTAGTTTTGTCTTGATCATTGTTCATGGTGTTATATAAGGAAGAGCATTTGATGCATTTAATAGCACAGCCTCTGCAACCCTTTGTAACAATAATAGCAACATTTGTTACAAGATGGAACAAATATGTGGTGCCAAAATTGGCAACATGGTCAATAGGGCAAAGCCATATATTTTAACTGTGGGGTTGCAATTTGGCATGGCGGGGACATACCTCTTCACCATGGCTAGTTTGAATCATGGAATGAGTCGTTTGGTGTTCATTGTGTATCGCAATGCCATCGCTGCATTGGCCCTTGCTCCCTTTGCCTTAATCTTTGAAAGGTGTTGCTTTTTTTTCTTTTTTTTTTTTCTCATGTAATTGATATGAAGTATGTATAGAGATTATTGAATTACTTTTTAATATATATATATAATATAATAAAATACGTATCTATAAATACGAGTTACTTTGTTTAGTATTAACTATCTTGTTACATTTTTGCAGGAAAGTTAGGCCAAAAATGACATGGACTGTCTTCATACAAATATTAGTACTTGGATTTCTTGAGTAATTACCTTAAACTTATCTATTAATGCAATCATATGACATGTGTAATATTAGGTTTTTTTTTTTTTTTTTTACCAATTTACATAATAAATGACACCACAATTTCAATTGTATCGATCTCTAATCCATGTAAATAAAAAACCATATATTAAGAGAGATCAACGTTTTAAATAAATTTGAATATCTCGAAAGATTAATATTTAAATTTTGATTAAAAATATCTTTATATATATATATATATCACTTAATTAACAATTATTTACAACATATACTACTCGTATAACTAAATATTGTAATATGGAAAGTATGTTAATATAAATCCACCCCATAGGTTAGATTTCATTCCTTTTAATCAAGAACAACTATATTATTCCACTCTCTTTTTTCCCTGTTTTGGAAAGAACCTTTCCTCTATACATACTCTGTTTTTCAAGTCTAGAAAATTTTTGTTTAAATAGTTTTTATAGTTCACATACATAATCCACTTAACACGTTATTTATTGCTAGAGAAAAAGGGTTGATGGATGGAATGGGTTTATTCAACTTATTGATTCCTAAATTAATAAAATTGTGATTACAACAATTAAAGAAAAAATAACTCCTTTACTCTATAGTGATGCCCGCATGCCTTTATAGAGAAACAAAAGGATGAGAGTGAATATTAATGATTCACATTAATAAATTAAGGCAAGAAACAATTTTTTGTGGTTGTTGATAATCTCTTATACTAAGTAATATATTTTATATTTTAGGCCAGTTGTTGACCAAGGCTTCACTTTCTTGGGAATGGAATACACTTCGGCTTCGTTTGCATCTGCTGTTATGAATGCCGTACCCTCTGTAACCTTTATGCTTGCAGTAATTCTCAGGTGAAGCTCTATTTTTTTTTTTTTTTTTTTGAGGTGCTCTATTCAATAATTTTTAATTTAATAATTATTATTCAAAATTTATTATTAGATTAAAAGTTTTTTAAGTCCTAAATCATATATACAAATTCAATATTAATTTATAATGATTTGATATCTCATATTATATTTTAAAATATATTAAAATTAATATTTTTATAAACTAAATATCTATTATATTTTATTAAAATTTATAATAAATTATATCTATAAATAAATATTAA